TCGGGGGGGCATGGTGCCTCAGCCCAGCCTGCCCCCTCTCACATACTGGGAGCCCTCAGGTGATGTCCTACTGATGGCTATTACCTGCTCCCTGCTCCCCTTGGGGAGTGGGCCTAAGCCACAGTCTGGCCTCCCTTTGAGGACTAAAGCCTCTGGTGAGTTATTAGCCCTGGGCCGGGTCACCCCCAGCTCCCCACCGCTGCCACCATCAATGATCGCTGGCTGGCTCCTCCTTGGCCCAAGCTTAAAGCCTCAGGCTGAGGTGTTAGGCCTGGGCCGCCATCAATGATCGCTGGCTCAATGATCGCTGGCTGGCTCCTCCCCGGCCGAAACCTAAAGCCTCAGGCCGGGGTTTTAGGCCTGGGCCAGGGCACCCCCAGCTCCCCACAGCCGCTGCCACCGTCATCAAGGATCGCTGGCTGGCTCCACCCCGATTTCCCACCACTGCAGCCATCAAAGATCCCTGGCTGGCTCCTCCCCGGCCCAAGCCTAAAGCCTCTGGTTGAGGTGTTAGGCCTGGGCCGGGGCCCCTCCCCCCAGCTCCCCACCTTTGCTGTCGTCAACAATCGCTGGCTGGCTCCTCCCCGGCCCAAGCCTAAAGCCTCTGGTGAGTCATTAGCCCTGGGCCGGGGCACCCCCAGCTTTCCCCCGTGGTGCCGCTGCCGCCATCCATGATCGCTGGATGGCTCCGCCCAGGCCCCAGCCTAAAGCTTCAGTCTGAGGCTTGGGGCTGACATATGCAAATTAGCTGCCATCTTGGCTGTCGACTAATTTGCATATCTCACTGATTAGCCAATGAAAAGGGTAGCAGTCGTACGCCAATTACCATCTTTCTCTTTTATTATATAGGATAAGGTTTTTAATAAATGCAATCATAACGTCTTGTCTTTCTGTATTTTATTTCAAGATTATATTTTTAAGATTTTCTGTTCATAATCTATACATATAAAAGTCTAAGCGGTCAACTGGTCACTATGACACACATTGACCAACAGGGGGCAGACGCTCAATGCAGGAGCTGCCCCCTGGTGGTCAGTGTGCTCCCACAGCCAACCTCCTGCAGCCAGCCAACCTCCCTTGGTCCCTTCCCCCGGCTGGCCCCAGTTGGCCCCTATCGGGACTGGGCGAGACAGCCCCAATCACTGGCAAATGGAGGGACCCCACCTGTTCACAAATTCATGCACTGGGCCTCTAGTTTTCACTATAAAAGATTGCATTACATTTGATGTGCCCTAACTTATTTAACATTTCTCTAAGATTGGACATTTCAAATGGTCACAAGGTCTTACTAATGCAGACAATATTGGTAATAACCTAACAAATAGCTTCAAATTAAAAATCATTTTGCTCAAGTTCGATTAACTCTACTTGGTTAAAAAAGCTCAGGCTCTCTTATTACATTTCTCAAATTATTTTTCCACTTGGAATGTCTCCTCCCTAATCTCTGTCTCTAACTTTTACTCATTTTTAAAGGCTCAAATAACTATGACATATTCCTGGACAATCTTCCTGCCTCTAACTCTTCCCAGATGGACATCATGCTCCTCACATGTGAGCTCCCATAGCACACTGTTCTGTGAAAAGTACCTATTTTGTTCTAAACCTCCTGAACTAAGACATGTACATCCATGTCTTGTGTCTATTCAGAGACTGTGGGCTACTCAAGAGTCTATCTCTTTTTCTTCTTAACTTTGCATAGAGATTTTCCATTATTTCAAGCTCTCTTGTGTGTTTTGATTGTATTTTCCTCAGATTTCCTATGTGTCTTAAACAGAGGGCAGAGTGGGAGATGGAAGAAGCTTGTGCTATCAGCTCAGTAAAACATCTTGACAGGAAAACCTTGAGATTCTTGCGTCTTCTGCCCTCAAAAAATAAAAGAATATATTCGCTTGTGGTGCACCATCTCAAATTTACCATGCAGGATGGGTTTCATCCAAAAGGCCGTGAGCAATCTTACTGCCGAAGACTTGGAAACCTGGTTTCACAAATAGGATCTAGGGGCAAAACCCAGGAGAGAGTTTCGGTCCTACTTCTACTTTTTCCTCAATGGCTCATTTTAAGATATAATTGTTTTGAGCCTATTTCCCAAAATAAAAGGTTAATTTTTACCTCATAATTTTGGTTCACTTGAGGCTAATTTTGGCTGCATCATTCCTGTCTCATATTCAGATGAGGCACACTCTTAGCTATGATCTGAGCTTTTGATTTTCCTGGCATACAGGAAATCAAACCCTTTTCTCCCCATTAATGTTCTGCTAATTTTTGTCTTAAACAGACAACCATCACACTTGGTCTTTCCACATTCAAACATACATATATGCATACACACACACACACACACACACACACACGGTCCATCATACAACTGCAGTTGATTACTATGAAGTTGCTTTCCAGTCCAATGAGAGAAAAATCTGAAACCAATTTCAGAACCAAGAGGAAACTTTATTTATAGGTATATTGACATTACCCAGTCAACTCAGCTACAATGTCAGGGCGATATTTTTGCCTCCAACTCAGCTTTCTTTATTTCCAGAGAATATTTTAGTTCCTCCATTGTTGAGCCATTTTCCTTTAATCTTTGCATAAAGTTCTCTACGGCTTTGCAAAGTTCCTCACTCTCTTGAAAGGCAAGCTGAAGAAAGAAACATTTTTGTAAATAACAGCTTAAGAACGGAGAGCCAGCTTGATATTCTGAAGGTAATGAGTAGTGCCTAGGTCTGTGAATGGAGGCTCAGAACCAGGTGAATATATACCCGAGTTGCGGGCTCAATCCCTAGTAAGGGGTGAGCAGGAGGCAGCCGATCAATCATTGATGTTTTTCTCTTTCTCCCCCTTCCTCTCTGAAATCAATAAAGATATGATAGACATGAGTTTATGTACCTTGCTCTATAAAGTACACAAGACAATGAGTCCTACTAACAGCACCTCGTCGGGTGGCAAATGGGAACTACCAGATATAAAAATGTGAGGTGATAGTTTATGCGCCCCATTCTACAATCAGGTCAAGGCCAACCCATTCAAAAACATCCCAAATGGATCAGCTATTTACTAAGCAAGTACTAGGAGCAATGCCAGGCCCTGAAGATCCAGCTGCGAACAAGACCAACAAGAGCCTACTGCTCACCAGTGCCTTCTCGTGTGCAGTCCGTGGAGCTGGTTTGGGAGCTTCTGGGATCAATTCACAGACCGGAGGTGCAGCGTTCCATTCCCCATCAATGCACTGCTGCTCTTGTGTGCCCACCAAGCGGTATCTGCACAGAAATTAGAATGGCCACAATGCCTTTCCACCTTCTGAGCTGGACAACGAAGGCTGGTTTTGTGTTGCTATATTTCAGAATTTCTTACTGTGATAGAACCCACCTCTCGGCCCTAGATCCATAAGGCATGTTGAAGTTCTCTCAGTATTACAGGGTGGTACTAAAGTAAAACCGCTCCCTGGGGTGTGGAGAGCCCAACTGATGAATCAACCCATAAAATATGGAGAAGTGAGAAATTCTGAATATGTGCGTTTATACATACAGTTTTTGGATGGGGAGGGTGAGGGAAGAACTTTAAATAAGCACCTGTCTTCTAGGCTCTAAAAAGGAGTAGAAAGCTAGAGAGAGCCTTCAAATACATCTTAGTGAACTGGCTGAAAAGAGGCTGCAGCTTCTAATCAGAAAAAGACGTGAGAGTTGACTGCAGTCCGTTCTCCAACATAATGAGATTGAAATGCTAGTGAGGGCACATAACCCTGAGTCAATGAGGCAAGGGAAAGAAAAAGCTAGGCGATCTGTAAGGTGGGTGACCAGGCAGTCTAAGTTAAGGCTAGACCTTAACTAGGGTATTTTAAGGACCTATATTCTAAATCTT